GAGAGAGAGAGAGTACTTTTTTGTGTGTTGCGATCGGAATCGGATAGCTTGTGTTACTTTGAACGCACGAATCCATTTGTAATTAAACTGTGATGTGTATGAATAAACGACGCGGTATGATATGACGTTATTGCCATAGGAAGCGCGCACGCAAGTTCTATCTCTCCTCCATCGCATGTAGGTTAATTGATATGCAGGGGATGCACAATGGGTGTACACGTCCAATCATTTTATATATCTTTAGCCGTGAACAACGTATGGCGCATTGTGTCCGCCGATGCCCGTGTGTTAATATCGATAATTAGATCTCGCCTCGACCTTTCGACTCACAATCAGTCATTCAATGGTACAGGATGTCCCTCGTAAGATCTAGTTTTTTTTTTTTCCCCACCACGCGCAAGAAAGGATGAGAATTTTTATAGCGCAAGATGTTACCTTTTTATATATCTTCGGAATCTCCCCGAAGCACCGCGCGTACTTTACTTTAACCACGTGTACAGAACGATTCGACGGCGGGATCTGAGAAACGGCATATCCAGACGTGGGTGCGAGCCGACCTTCAGCCAGCGATTGTTGTTTCGCGTTTTATTCCGCGGACATTCCGCTGCATAACTTCGGTGCTTCCAGTAAAGTGCAAAAAGTGTGCTATTCACGAATAACGTCTGTCCGACGCTCGACAGAAGATGGATGAGTTCCGAGCGATGCTCGAGGAAAAAAGGAGGAATATGTTAGACAATTATCATAGTAGGTCGATGAAGGTGACCCGTGCAGCCACGGAATACGTTGTACATATGTACGTCGGAATTATAGGCCCTCGACACGCCATCTTAAAGAGTACTACGCGGCGATGGCCAAAGCTGCCTTCGTTAACGCCGCGCCGTGCTCGTCCGCGTTACTTAACGAGGCAACGCTCAACAATAAATTACTTGTACAAACAGCGAAAGCGCCTAGGCAGATCGATCGCTAGATCGTAGCAATTACCGGTCCCGCTTAAGCCCGCACACGTGAGCTATGCCTTGCTGTCCCGTGTAGCGTTTTCCTACGTCGTCGCGTTCGCGCGATGCACGCGTATCGATAGATAGCGATTGAGATTCGCAATGACGCGCTTCACTGGAAAATTGAGCGAGCCCGAGAAAAGACGGGGAAGCGAATTTCACGAGGCTAGCGTGCGAATGAATACTCGATATACTTATCTTACCGAGGCTCCACTCACGAATATTCATTGCAATGCATAGTTGTATCTGTGATCGCGGAATCGATATTATGCACGACCGCAAATCCTATTGCATGGAGATTACATTTTATTTGCTGATGCATAAAAAATTGTACGACACAGATATTATACGTGTACATGTGTGTTCAATGTATTCTTAAAAAATCAAAATTAGCAAATATGTTAGAAACATTTGTCTGTCTTGTGAATAATTGTAATAGGTGTTTGTAAAAAATGTATGGACAAATGTAGAATTTGTTGCTTACAGCCGTTTATCTCGAGATGATTGAGTTTTTAACGTTGTAAAAACTACAATCTTTATTGTGCTCGATATGTATTTTAAAAGTAAAATATTTATTTATGTATTTAATAATTCTTTTCATATGTAGACTGTTATCGGGATATTTCCAGAATGTATTGCTACGTGTTATCTGTCGGTTTATATTTTTTTTATTATGAAAGGTGCTTTATAAAAACACACTGCTTACTCAGATTTACAAATAAAATACTAGATACAATAATTTAGAACGAACGTTTGAACATTTTCAGCATATATTAAACAGCTCGCGCAATAATACGGTTTTTAACAAATGATTTTCGTAAGATTTGTGAACAAAATAAAAATACAAAAAATTTATATTCTGCTGACAATGTTGTCAAGTTAAATCGTTAAACGTTACAGAGACGGTTGAGATAATTGCATCTTGTATCGCAACATATTTTAATTTAAGCATTGTCTTTATACTCGTTGATATCAATCTGTCCGAAACATGTAATTAAATAATAAATAAAATAAATAAGAGAGTGAAAATTAATTTAACATTATGCTTTGTATCGTGCAAATTGTATTTGAATTTATATATAAAATTTAAGAGCAGAGACAGCGTATTGTGCCGAAGAAAATATCGGAACATAGAAAAATCGGGAACGTAGAAGATATCGGAAAATCCCGGGTCTAGTATCTGATATTAAATTTCTAATAAATTTTATTATATTTTGTTGTGGAAAATTTGTGGCTCTCGCGGCTTTTACGGTGGATCTTTCTGTCCGCCAGATAAGACGGCAAAGTTATCGCGCTCAGTATCGTCACAAATGTTTTTATGTTCAATCGTCGCGGAATATATACGCGACGACCTTGATCGATAGGCACTACAAACGGCTATATATATATACATCCTCTGGTAATGTTCTTTGCAAGTTTAAGTACAAAATTAGGTTTCGTAACGCCGGCAATCAGTAATGTTAGATGTCTAGAGTATCATAGCGCTGTTAGTTTATCAAGTAATTTGTCACTTTGACGAGAGTTTAATAACCCAACGAATATGTAGTTTGTTCGAGCGAAGAGACAGGTGAGCCAAGTTTTTTTCCGTCGAGAAATCGGAACGCAAGTGCAAAACTTCCGTGTGACATACTGGAACGCGGTGTACAGCGCGTAGTCTTAGTAGTGCTATTTATATCGTATTTCATTTTGTCAATCATTTTTATCGAGCTTGGATTCCATCGTATCAGTGTAAATATTATTACAGTAGAGTAGATAATTTAGATTGTCATCAATGAAGGCCTAATTTAAATTTTACGTCACGCAACGTGATATACAATGTGTCTACATGTATTTCTTTTCTATTCTTTTCCTTCTTATTTCGCGATAATTACTTCCGATGTTATATATGTCGTGCGCTATTTGAATTATGTCTCGCACTATATATTTGAGCATGATTTCACGTTTGCATAGAAATCCGTAACTGAGGGAAAGTATAACAATTCCGTGGCGCTCTACACTAACTTTGTTCTCCAGTGGCTACCATAAGCGTGTCAGAAAATGTCTAAAAGTTTGGTACATCCTTTTTAATAGCGCAGGAATACTTAAGTTTAAAACATTGAGGGAAGAAAACAATGACAGTTTGATAAAGAATCTAAGGTCGCTTTAAATATGAATTAAACATATGACGTTTTATGCTTGTGATGCATCAAAGTATCCACTTGAACGTAATTCTAATGCAAAACTGAGCATCGAACAATTTGCATATGTTTGTATAAATGTGTTTCTTTCTAGGTTCATGGTGGTATTGGTGTGCCTCATATTTAGCGTTTTGTCAACGATAGATCAATACAGTGACTTCGCAAACGAAACTCTGTTTTGGATGGTGAGTACATTATATGTTTATATATATATATATATATATAT